TTCTGTAGTTCTACAAAGAACCTACAAACAAATGAACTTCAAAATGAAGAAGCGTTAAGAATGGCCCAAAATCTAATATATAATGCAACTTGTTGTTGTTATTGGCACTGGGAAACTGGAATCCAATGTGAATCAGGGACGTGAAGAGAGAAGGGGAGAAATTGGAGATAATTGGTTTAAAAAAAGACCCACTATATGGCCTATTGTTTAGTATTTTATAATCTTAGCTACTGCCATTTCAAACAAACAAATTCCACTCAGAGTGACACACATCATCTTTGCTATTATAGTCATGTTTCGCCAAAGGCACTGCATATAACTCCATAGAATTATTACCCACATATGTCTGTTTTAAGTCTCTGAAATCTGCTATTAAAAGCAAATTAGCATATTGGTCTGAAATCCATCATAGAATAAATAAATATCTTGCATGATCCTTTCCTCAGAAATTGACCTTGTTTCTCTCTTTAAGGTTTTCTTCAATCTACAGAGTGTATATCTTGTCAATTTATCAGTTTGACATATTTGATTGAAATTGACAGAGCTACACAGTAGGCAGTCTACAGTGTCTTGGAAAATCTAATGCGCCATTACACTATACTTTCATGGATAAAGTTACATTGAAGCATAATCTTTATTGCAATTCTTGAAAGGATTAGTCGTGTCTAACTTTTTATTAAAAATATACCGTTAGCCTCCTAAATTGCATTTTTCTCACTAATCCATCACGTTTTGCTGGTGCCCTCAAACTATTGGGAATAATCAATTTCTCAGATTTTTAATTTAGCTACAGTATTCCCTCCCTTCCTCACCCAATTCAAAGTCCTTTTCAAGACCTATCTCTAAGACAGCACTTTTGGTCACCTTTTGCCCTCCCCATCCCACCTCCACGGCTCCCACCCCCTGCTCGGAAACCAAACCAAGATTCTTGGGATGTCCTTCTGATGTGAAAGACATGCTATAAATGTGAATTTGAATTGTATTGGACCATGTATTCCACGTTGAGACAGATATTGGAACTTTAGAAACACAATCAAGCACTTATCCGTACTTGAGCTTTTAGTTACAGTTGTCCACTTCCAGCATGGTTGGTCCTAATGATCTAGTTTGGACCTCCAATCAAGTTTCTAGGTAAATTGAGTACACCTAAATGGAGTTGCCGTTTGCTTTCCTGTGTCACTTTGTTCTTCTGTCTTTGATTTTCTACATTCATTTCCTTCAGTTTCTTCCTGTGAAAGTGGTTATTTATTTAATTGTTGATTGTGGGATTTGGCTGGTGCAGATTGGCTGTCACGTTTGCCGACGTAATTTCACTTTCCTTCACAACTTTTTATTAGGCAAGAACTTAATAATAATTTGAAAGAACCAACAAACGATATATTACTCTAGTAATCAGCGCCTTGGGATGTCCTTCCGAAGTGAAAGGCGCTATACAAATGTAATTTTGTTGTTGTTTCTCAGGAAAGGGATGAATAGAAACGGGGGGGGGGGGAAATCCTTTATGATCTCCAAAGGTTTGTTCAGTCCGGCTTCATACCCACGGAAATCTTGTTTTGATTGTTGCATAACATGCCAAGAGGAGTTGTGAAACATACAAATTACTGTTCAGCTAAATTATTCTAGGCTCTAGCTGTCTGGAAATGGTACATAAAATGGGTATCAGACATTAATAGCATGGTTTCTCTCGTCTTGGGTTGCAACAAGCTCTGGAATCTGATCTATTGAACTGTTGGCATATCCGTTATTTACTGAGGTATTCAAATTTGACTTGGAAGATCTCTTGTAGTGACTTTTAAGATAATGTTGGCAACCTTACATCACTTCCAACAAGTACTGGCATCCTAGGCTCTGTTTCTTTCAACTCAGTTTTTTGCCAGCTCGGAATGATATCAGGCCTTGAATAATAAGTTGATACTTAATTCTCTAGGATAATTGCAAACCTTCAGTAAATTGTTAGGTAAATGACTGTGTTGTGGACTGTGCTGCAATTACATATTCAGGACCAACACTGCAGAGATCTGGTGCTGCTCTAAGATCAGCTAAAACAACAACCTGCCCTTATATACCACTTTTTAATGGAAGAAAAATCATTCAAAGTGCTTCACATAGTTGGTGGGTGACACAGAGCAAGGTGGAAAGGAGGGGAGATAAGGAGAAGGTAATAAAAGGCATGGTCAACCTAGCAGTGATACTGTGCTTCTCACATCTGTCCATTCACATGATTCACCAGGACAGTTGAATCCACATCTATCTCACTCCTGTGGCAAATTAACAAATGGGTTTGGTTACTTCAGTTTATTTAACTATTTCAAAGTTGTACCTTTTAGGAGATTCCGTTGCTATTACCCTTGACTCATACTTTCTATTATCAATTTGGTTAAAGGTGGTGCATGCAATATTCCTTAAATTAATATACATTAATAATAATGATAGCCTGAGCTTCTTGAAAAGACTCAATGTAAGATTAGTATGCTGAAGTGTTCACAAGAGTTTGCAAGAGAGGTTCGCATGAAGAAAGCCTTTTTGGCCCATTTGATCTCATCCTTTAGAACACCCATCCTATCATTCTCCCATTACAACACTAAGCATTTTTGTTTAAATAAATCTAACTTTCTAGCCTCAACCACCCTTTCTGCTAAGTGATTCCGTTTGTAAATTATCCTCTAAGTAAATCAGGAAGGAACATTTATTTTGGATATGTTTTCCATTTGTTCTGCACCTAAATCAGTTTCGTGGGATTGGAAATGTACCTTTTCATCATTTATATGATTTATTCTTTATTATGTAATCAGTATTATCAATATGCATCTGGCATAGCATTGAACCAAATAACTTCAATATGTCTTCCTGTATGTTCGCAAAACAAAGCAGAATGCATTGTATACAAATATAACATTCTCAAGAGTATTGTTCAATGCTGCTCATTTTTATAAGATTGATGTTTTCAACAACAAATTTATGAAGACAGAGCAGATAGGAAAAAGTCCAGATCTTGTTTTATGCTGGATTTCATATGCTTTACACAAGAAACAATTAACTAGCACATGTCACTCACAGACAAGAACAGTGTTTAATGGCTCTGAGCTATTGGTTTTGTTGTTTATTCTGATTTATATTACAAAAAACATCAAGCCTTTCAGAGACTGGGTATTGAACAACCAAAAAACTTAATAGTCTGTTTTTTATTTCCACTTAATTTCAGCAAATTATTTTTTTCTGCTGCAAGAGTACTCTGATGCATTGCTTCCAAACCACTATCAATGTGGTTCCTGAAACAGTTTTTAAGTTTGTTTGCTTCTAAAGTTGGTTAGCTGCTGTGTGAGTCTAACCTCCAGGATTTAAATTCTAGTACATTAATATGGTATTGCTGAATCATGTGTTAATTAGTTTTGTAGACATTTCCCAAACTGGAGATTAGGATTGTGATACTGCCTCCCTCAAATTACATCAAGTCCAATAATGCTTCAGGCAGTTTTGGTGGGTGGAGATAGGTGGTGGAATGGGTAGGAAATAAATATCACCAGACATCACAATGTTCTGTGATATGACAATTCTCATTGGTGTTAATCGTCATGATGACACGTGGAAGCTTTGCTTCTTTCTAAAAATATTTATTTAAAAAAAAACGTAATCCAAGGCACCTATTAATCTAACATTACAGAGATGAACATTGTACAGTATTTAGCTGTATACTTGTTCCAATTGCTCTAATCCCTTCCCAGTCCCTTTTTACACAGAACTCACAAATCAACACTGGTAATGAATTTCAAAAATGTTGAAATTTCCCTACGATGAATGGGTGTATTTTTATTCAAGGATCAATCCAGGGGTGCCCAATCATAGATGAGCCATATCTTCTCCACATTGTGCTATTTTTACACTGAATATCCCTCAAATCCTTCAACAAAATCAGAGCTGCTGTAAAGACCCACCCACTGGCAAAGGATATCCTGTGAATGGAACATGTGTACCCAGATTGAATTTTGAACACACATCTGGTTTTCTAGCACTGTAAGAGTTTAAATTTCCCACTTATTATAGCTTGGTTGAGAATTTTGGCTCAAAGAGGCATATTTTATCATTCATTTATAAGCCAAGATTCTGTGGAAAGTTTTGCTGTGCCACTGTGGGGTTTGTAGAGTAGTTACAGTGCCCAAGTTGACAACCGCAGCACTTCTCAATGACCAGTCTAAGGACTGATGCAGATCTGTGACAATGTCATGCCAGAGACCTCCTTAGCTTAGTGGTTGGAGCACTTGCCTTGCAAGTGGGAGGACCTGGATCTGATTCCTGGCACGGCGACACATTGGGCACGTTTCCTTAATCAACACACGTGTTTACCTAGCGGTAAGTAGGAACCCAGTTGTTAGTGATTGGTGGAGCGCTTTTCTGGCGGTAACAATCCCTTCAAAATAAATATTAATAATTTGGTCACGACTGTTTGTGGGACACTGCTGTGCACAACTGGCTGCTACATTTCGCCCACAAAATATACAGTCAATTCACTTTACAATATATTCTGTGAAGCGATTTAAGATGCATCGAAGATGTGATAAGGTGCTGTATCAAATGCAAGGATTATTATTGAGCAATCTAACAGACTTATTTACTGATGGTGCACCACATTTTAAGAAGCAACTGAGCCGATCCCTGATATCAAATGGTTGAGAAACACATGGCCGCAGTAATGTTATGCTTCCCAGAAACCAGTAGAAGGGTTAAGAAGAAGTGGCATCCCAATTTCACTGGCAATGTGTTTGGATTCGGTAGCTGCTTTCTCCAGTTCAGCAATGCAGGATTCACAACATTTGGAGAGGATTTTGTTTCTGGTGTCTTTTTTAAAAGTCTTGAAGGATTTTTAATCAAGGAATCCACACAAATCCGCACCGGAGTGTCAGGAGGACAACGAGTTCAGATTCTTAGGAGTGTCTTGAACACACAAATTACTAATCCAAAAAGCAGGAATGCTACCAACTGTGCCAAAAAGAATCCTGAAAGAATTGAAACTTTGGAAAGAAGTTTACTGAACACAGTACATTTTTAGTCATCAATACAAAAAATGTGTATCACCTGGGTATCAAAATGCCTGGATTAAGAGTAAAATAACCCAAAGATAAATGAAGTACCTCACATAACAGGATCCCATAAGTCTCTCGTGTTAACACAGGCTGCACAGCAATTCTTCACCATTTGGGAGAAGGGGAAGGCTCCAGTCGGAGAATGGGAATTGTGTTCTACAGCAGCCCTTCAATTCTTTCCCCACAAGATTTTCTCATAAAAAATGTTTTAAATAAAAAAACAAAGCTAAGTTTCTCTTACCAAGTTGTAGAGCATAGTAACTTACAATGATGTTATTTATTCAGAATGTATTGTATGTGAAAAATTATAAAAAGTTCAATACTGAATTTTTCCACACCGTATATTTCCCCATGGGTTTGGGCTGGTTGGCTATTAGAAATGAGGACACATCATTGTTTCAGCATCAATCTCCCCATGCACAGCAGCCAACCAATCTTAAAGACCTAATGGCAATGAAACTTGAAGTATTTCTCAATTCTCTTATACTGCATATAAGAATAAATCCTGCATTAACGTGGACTAAATGATGTGAAAAAGAGTTAAACTTCTTGTAATAGGTTAAAAATTAATATTTCAAAAGGAAAAATTAACACTAAGGCCTAAAATTCTATCCCACTGATGCCAACAGTGGCAATTGAGTTCCTTTGTTTTTAGGGGTTTTGGTGCTCTAGCCTTCAGCTCACTTCTGAAGGAGTCCAGGGTATCAGCTGACTAGTCTGCAAGAAAAAAAGTGGAACACATTAAACACATTGATCAGGCATTAGATCTTTAACCCACTCATCAAACAGTAATAATCTTTGCATTTGTTAAAATAATAATCCTTGCATATGATATAGCGCCATTCACTTCAGGTGGACTGTGGACTTTATGGGAAAATGTGGCATTTGCCAATGTGCCCATTTGCACACAGCAACATCCCACAAACAGCCACAAAGTGAATAACCAATTTTATCTGGAGTATTTGGAGGGCAGGTCATTGTAAGAAATTCCTTTTTGTTTTCAAATTGTGCCATGGTATCTTTACTTCTACCTCTGCGACTTCCTTACCCCCTACCAACCCGACCGCTCCCCCGCTCAGCCGGCTCCGGCCTGCTCCACGTCCCCCGACCCACCATTGGCGGGAGAGCCTTCAGACGCTCTGGAATTCCATCCCCAATCACTCCACCTCACCCCCTCCTTAGTCTCCTTCAAGTCCTGCCTCAAGACCCTCCTCTTCGACCATGCCATTGGCCACCCCGTTCCCCTCCCTTCTCTCCCCCTGACCCCAGCTTGGGTCTGAAATGCTATACAATGTCCAGCGCTTTGGGACGTCCTCCCGACGTGAAAAGGCGCAATACAAATGTAATCTTGTTGTCTACCTGCAAAAATGGATCTTGGGTTAAAATCCATTGAAGGAAGCCACCTTTGACAATGAGGCCCTCCCCCGGTACTGCACTGGAGTAACAGCCTAGACTGCAAGCTCAAAGTCCTGACATTGGTTTGAAACTACAATCTTCTGACTCGGAGGCAAGAATGCTACCAGCTGAGCCAGGCTGACACTAAACCTGAAACTCAGAAAGAGTAGGACAGCAAGGTCCCAAACATCCACAAAGTCATAAACTCACTTCTCTTTTCATATAGTGTTGTGAGATGATAATAATCCTTGCATTTGAAAATAATCCTTGCAATAATGTCTCAAAGCATTTGTGAAGGGTAGAGACTGTGTATTTGTGGAACACCTTTAATGTCCATCTTAACTGGCAGCTTCTGAAATATAATTTTTTATAAAAGGAATCATAATAATTATTTATGCATTACCGGAAATGCATTGCCTGAAAGGGTGGTGGAAGCCAATTTGTTAACAACTTTTAAGAGAGAAGTAGATAATTATTTGGTGAGGACAAGTTTGCAGGGCTATGCAGAGAGCATGGGGGAGTGCGATTGATTTGGATAGCTCTTCTCAAAGAGCCGGCACAGACACAATGATCCAAATGGCCTCCTTCTATGCTGTACAATTCTACGAAAAGAAGAATTTTTCTATTAACAAAAATACTGAAAGAAATGTCCAGAGTTAACATATTCTGATGAAGCAGACTGCATAAAGGGAGAATCTTGGCAAGAAGCAGATAAACAAACTGGTAATGTAAACCCCGTTCACAAAAAAAGTGCTAGGGTTAGTGCTAGAAGGTTGACTGATGTAAATGTTTAACAGCCATTAGTACTTTGAAGTAAGTCCACTAAAGACGTGTTAGTGTTTAATGATAATCTGCTCTACAGATCACCTACAGATTCACAATGTCACGTTTCCTTTTCTCTCCTTAAATGTTATGGTTATTTTACAGCTCTGCAAATTAACTGCAGTGGCACTAACACCAAAGATAATGCCTGGATGATCAGCAGGGGGGCAAATTCCTCCCCTCCTCCAGCCACAGCTAAACAATGTTTATCTCAGTCTCATGCTTTTCTGACCACAACTAAGACGAGAGCCATGTATTGGCAACTATTCAATGTATTATTTCATATCAGAACTTGAGCTCATGACAATTGAAGGGCATGAAAGATAAGAGTGTAAAAATGTTGTACTTTGGAACTGGACAATTGGACCACAATGATTTTTTCCGGTCTTGGACATTCTTAGGTAACTAATGTAAAACAACTAATTAGATTTAAGACTGTTCAAAATTATGAGCGGTTCTAATAGAGTATATAGGGAGAAACTGTTTCCTCTAGTGGGTGGGTCGATAACCAGAGGACACAGATTTAAGATAATTCGCAAAAGAACCAGAGGGGAGACGAGGAGAATTTTCGTTACTTAAGAGAGTTGTTACGATCTGGAATGCACTACCTGAAAGGATGGTGGAAGCAAATTTGATAATAGAATTGAAAAGGAAAAATTTCCAGGGCTATGAGATAAGAGCAAAGAGCCGGCACAGGCACAGTGGGCTGAATGGCCCCCTTCTGTGCTGGAAGATTTCATGATTTTAACTCAACAACAACAATTTGCACTTATATAGCGTCCTCCATGTTGGGTAGCGTCTCAGAGTGCTTAACAGTGGCAGAGCCTGGCTCATTTGATTTTAGCTATTTGTTGCAGATGTTAGTCAGGTTTGGAGCAATTCCTGACAGGATTGGTTAACCATAACCTTAAGTAGTAAATAAAATCCCCTCTGAAGCAACAAGGCCAACAACTGAGCTAATTGTTTCAGATCTCAACACCATTAATATAACCACTATACCTGTGACAGCCAAAGTCACAGCTGTTTAGAACTGTGTTCACACGGTCATTCCTAGCTCCTGGTGGAGATCATGTTACCATTGCTCATAGCACAGAGTCAAGATGTTTACAGGAAGCAATTGAAGCTTTCATCGTGCATTCTTCATGCTTCATTTGTTTTTTCTAGAAATGATCAACGATTGCCACGACAGCAAAATTTGACATATAGTAAGAATTCAAAACATTTTGACTTTACACAAATCGTTCTAACATAAGAAAACTGGAATGGGAGTAGGACACTCTGCCCGTCAACCCTGTTCCACCATTTTGTTAACATGGTATATCTTTTAATCCCATTTCCCTGCCCTGTCCTCCTGATCCTTTAATACCCTTAGGCCTTCCGGCAGAGTGTATTGTACACTATTGCAACCCACTGTGAGAAGAACTATCTTCTGATTTCATAGCTTTGCTCTGAGTTCAGCTCAGAGACCAGCTAACTTTGCACACATTACAGATCCTACCCATAAGTGGAAAATCGACTTGGAAATGAAGATTAAATGTAAGATTGTTCTCTAAAATTCACCTCAGGCCCCTAATTTTATTAAGGTGAGGAACTTCCTCTCCTTCTCCTCAGTGAAGCTCTCTATATTCCTGAATTCCAGTTCCCAGTATTATTTTCCAGGTCAAAATACTTGTATTTTTTTTACACTCTTTGCTTCTTATGTATTCAAAACATTTTATTCCCACAAATATTGCCAGTAGTATTAAATCCAATGTGTCCCTCGTCTTCTCTGATTGTTTCCCCTCCCACCACCACCCCCATCCATTTGTTTGCAATTCACCCAATGCTCCTCCCTCCCTGACTTATCAATTTTCATTGGTACAAGTGAAAAGGATACAGGATCCATTTCTAATGGAATTCATGAACATTTTTCAGAATAAATCCCTACATGGTGCTTATTTTCTTGTTCACAACGTAAACAGTCACTGCATATTATCGTCATGCAGTGCATTTCAGTTGGGTGACATCAAAAAGATGTCATCACTATTGGAAGCAGCTTGGCCGTTTCAAGTCTGTGTGCCTGCACAGATTGTTTCAAAATGCAGAATCATCTGATCGATTAGTGCAGTAGAATTTTTTCTGCAAATCCTTTGCAGATCTGCAAGTGACCAATGTCTCTATCGCAGGCATCTGACACATAGAAGGTCTAAAAGCACTTACAGACAGCCTCTTCCACAGAAACACCACAGTGGATGCATACAAAGAGCTTAATAGCAATTAGCAAGGTAGAGTTTAGAAGGCTAATAGTTGTAAATACAAAATTAAAACAAATCATTGCAAAATCACATACAAATAATAAGCACTTAACATAATTCTAAAGGCCTCGGGGAAATGGGTTCAGTGTCAAGTCTCAGATAGTTGGTACGGCTGTATATTCAAAATGAAACTCCCTCTGAGAAATTGCCAAGTAAAATTTTTAAAAAAGGGGCTGGAAAACATTTAGCAACAGATCCATTCTTTTAATTATCATCTTGAAATAGTTTGAAACGTATTTTCACTGAAACATTCAATGAAAATGATTTGAAGCTTTCATGCTTCATTCATCTTTCCAGAAATGATCAACAATTGCCAGGGCAAATCCATTTGTAGCGATTAAATAATTATTTGGGACAAAGCCAATGAGTCCTTTTTGGAGAGGTCCAAATACAAAAGATCGGCTTTTAAAAATATATTTTCTGACAGGTGAAGCTTGAACAATAAATGCCTGTAAAAGTCATTTTTTATAAATGCCCAATAAAAGGGCATTGCAGTTTCATTTCTGAAGAAGTTTACAACTGTGATTGCAAAGCAATGTAGCAGCTCCATTCATGAGAATAATGCATGTGAGCTAGACTAACACATGAGTACAACACTGAGCAGAGGTTCTGTGGGCAGTGGGACACCTTGAACAGGTAAGGCAGAGCTCGGGCTTGTGTCACCTGCACCAATTAAGGTAAATATTGACACTTATTGGACTGCTTATAGCAGGAAGAGCAGATAACAAAGTGACTAAATGAACTGTCCAGAATTTTATAAAATGTTACAGCATGGAAACAGGCCATTTAGCCCAACTAGTCCATGTCGGTGTTTGTACTCACACATGGCTCCACCCTGCCAGCAGAGAGGAAGCCAAGCTGAATGGACCTTGGTCTTCTTTTGCCTAGAAAATTCTTACGTTCTTACACTCTTAAGTGCATGTTTGTAGACATCAGAGGGCTGAAATTCTGGTTGAAATTACATGTAAGCAACATTGATGGTGTTCGCCTCCAGTGAGATTTGCCACTATAATTGTGCATTGTCAAAGTTGGTACAGAGCACCAGGTGGAATTTCGGCCACAGTTCGGCCATCAGATACTACAGGTAGCCTGGCACTCACTCTCTAAGAAACAATGGGCATGTACACAATGTATTAAAGGACAGTACGGTATAAGACAATGATTTCACAGTGACCTGAAAATCAGAAACAAAACATAGATACAACAATTTATATAGCCTCCTTCACGCGGAGTAACGTCCCGGAGCGCTTCATGATATTGAACAGTCACTACACTTCAAAGTAACTCATCTGAAGTATTTGGAGACATTTCGAGATAATAACGTACAGTATCAAATGTACATTTATTATTCAAATCATCTTTTCAGCTGCTTAGTTAATGTTCTGTTTTCTCCATTTGTGGAAATCCGTCTTCTGCAATTTTTCAGCGCTCCGAGATGCTATCCGCGATGTACCAGTGTGAAGGACACTATATAAATGCAAATTATTGTATTTTAGTGCAGATTTTTGCATTTTGGTGATGATTCAACATTTGTAATACAAACATTCTAAACGTCTTCTAGATTCATATTATCCATATTCATGTTTTGATTGATTTTGGTCGAGCACCCTCCCCTCAGTAATATATAATGGTTTCCGTGTCAATGCAGGAGGTGAAATGACCTGAATAATATAAAGCCGGAGGAAGCATTTACTGTATCTCTATCAGAAACAGGATCTATTGGTCACTAGGTGGTGCTAAAGCTTCACCTCATTGCAATCTTCCTTCCTATTTTATTATAATCCAATTACTGATTTCAATTTTGAATGCGCTCACAATGTAATTGAAGCTTTCATTAGTTGGTAATTGATAGAAACAATTACTGTGACCTGACTACAAAGATTATGACACGAAAAACTGCCGTAGAGCATATGGGTGGATTTAGGACCACAGATAACCATATTAAAGAATAAGTGTAATATTAATATCAGGCAGTGCAATGTGCTAATTGCATTTTTCACCATAGTTTTGTTCCTGTACATAATATGCTATTTTCTGAAATGGCAGTGCAGGTGAGGTGACCTGTTCTTAGGCCATCCTTGAACAACCTGAGGGGGGCACATAGGAAATGTTGGTATGATTTTCACTGTTTTGCACTCATTCTGAGGGATGTGTTGGCCACAATTAGGAAATGCCTGCATGTGGATATCGATAGAGTGCAAATTTATTTGGGGAGGACATCCCGAGATGTCCCATCACAGACATAAAGCCACACACACACACAATGTTGGTTTAACTTATGACACCATATGCACTGAAACCAGAACAATGTAGAAAAGATCAACGTGGACACTTATGCACTGATGATGCACATTCACACTGTGATAATGATAATCCTTGCATTTGATATGGTGCCGTATCATGTTTTCGAGGCGTCTCAAAAGGCTTCACAGAATATACTGTAAAGTGAATTGACTATATTTTGTGGGAGAAACATGTCAGCCATTGTGCACGGCAGTGTCCCATAGTTGTGGATTGTATGACCAATTTATTTGTGACCGCTGTATTCTATTTCCTTTTAAATTTTCTCCACCAACGTGAGAGTCAGGGAGGATGAAGGCAATTTGCGCTTTACCAATGTTCTTCCTTTTTCAGTTAGCGAGACAAATTTATATTAGGGTGATATGGATATTTCATTTTTATTTTGAACAGACAGGACAAATTTCTTACCCAAAGAGGGAGAAATCAGCCATGATTTGCACTTCTGATTGTTATCGAGTGACCTACCTGTTCCCTTGCACTGTCTCAGTCATGCCATGAAAATAGTTAATCTCAAGCTAAACTAATTTTCTTGTTGTATAAAAACATAGCAAGAAAAAATATATTTTACATATTTTCAGACACCCTATCAGAATTCTACTGCTGGTAACTGCAAAACGTATTCATGTGTGACAGACAGAGCCAAGTTATCATTTACACTGAATATATAATACTTGAGGACTGCAGAATGCTAGTTTACTCCCCATCGTGAAAAAATATCTGCGCAGTTGACCCATGACCATCATTCACTAAAATAAGCTGGAGCTTTTCAACCCTGAAAAGAGTCATCTCAGAGGAAACCTTATTGAGGTATTCTGTATCAATGCTAAATGCATTCAGAAAGTGAACCAGAATCATACATTTACACCTGCCAAGGCAGCAGGACAGGAGGGCACAGGTTTGGTGTTGTGAAGGTCAATTTTAAGGGTCAATTTTAGGTTAAGCACCAGGAAGTATTTATTTACACATAAGGTAATTAAAGGCTGGAACAAATTACCAGGCAGGGTGATTGAGGCCAGAATGTTTCACTCATTTAAGAAACTTGTTTATGTTGTAATGAGAGGATGGTAAGGGAGGTATTCGGAAAGGATGAGATCATAGGAGTGAACAATACAATATACAGTATATTAGTTATCACCAGCCATATCAAATCTCATATTCAACTTTCCACCCCATAAGTACTTAGCCAGTGGTTAATGATAATAAGTAATTAGGTGTAATTATTGTAATTAGAATGTATAAATGAGGTAGAGTGCACATTTCACACCTTAGTGTAGTGTTGAGAGGTTCTGCATTGTCAGCGACGACTTCTTTCAGAGGAGACGTTAAATTCAGATCCAATGACAATATTGGAAAGAAAAGTCAAGTTGGACTCAGTGGCCTGGCCAGCAATCCTTGACACCAAATTGGTTGTTCACTTCATGGCTATGGTATCGTGCTGTGTGCAAAATGGTTGCCATGCTGGCCTATAAAACCAGTCACTGCACTCAATTACCCACAGTACCACTTGCTGGATTCTTGCTGTCTTTTTTTCATCCAGTGCTGTGATTTTCTCTGATGCTTTTGGGCACTGATATACAAAATTGTGAGATCTCAAGATCGTGCTGAAAATGATTCAGAAGGGCACAAATATTAGATATCGGATGATATACTCGCTCAATATATACCGACTGAAATATTTCAGTGATCAAGTGCTCATTGTGCGTCAACGAATCTGCAGTAATTTGCTAAATCAATAATTCTTCAGTCTACAGCATCAGATCACTGAAGTATAACATTAAATCTGCTGTCTGAAAAAAACACTGGACAATGGAATGAAACCGTCCCACAGACTCCAATCTCAGCATCACATGTTAGTTATAAGCTTTACTGATGACACTGTTTATGAATTACTAGAACCATCTGAATTACTTCATGAGATCATTGCACTGTTGCTGCTTGCTGGTTCAATGGGCAGATGAATCGCATAGCACTAAGCCATACAGACAAGGGAGATCCTGGGTTTGTGGCAACTTGTGCCACAGCGCAGTTTACTGGGTCAGGAATGGCCTCACTCCAATTGGCTTCTGTCCTTCTGGGCTGAGAAATCAAGGAGGGAGAAATTAGCCATGATTTCCACTTCTGATTGCTATTGAGTGACCTCAGATGGATATACATGTGGTGTTTTGGACAGCTGGGGGGTGTTGGACAGGATCTGAAAGGGTTGGACAGGATCTGAAAGGGTGCACTTTCACAGGGAAATAACCTGTGGGCTCTATGTTAGAAGTGGAAACTGTATCGCAACATGGGTCAGCCTTCAGAAAAGGACAAAAAGAAATTCAGATTAGAGAGTACAGAACAGACCTGATCTGTAATCATTTCCAGCTTTTTGTTTATTCTTTTTAACAACACTTGTCTCAGTTAATAATTCAATAGTTTTGAAAAATAATGATTGATAAGAGTCAAGTGATCTAAAAACTGAATCATGTCATTGAAAAGGCAGAACCTGACCGTGTGTTTATTGACTCACAGGTTCATTCTTGTGAAGTGACTCTGGTTGCTGTCTGTGTACAAATCATTTCTGGGAAATTTGAGCTCACAATATCTAGAGAATGAATCACTAGAGAGGCTGCACCCACGCCAAAGAGCAAGAGGAGCCTCATCAACCTACTATCCACTCATGGAGACCTAGTTCAATTTTGATTAATGGAGGAGACTGAGAAGCCTCATTAAATTAACTAGATATTTACCCCATTAACTTCTTCCTTGTAAAAAATCTATTTGTTTATTCATAACTAAATATTGTAGTATATTTATCAAATGTGATAAATAGATGGTTTTGGCTGAGAAGAATTTCTGTTAACAGGTTTTTGTCAGTTAATAAATCGCATTGATTGGTCTAACAGTGTCTCTTGTTGGTATATATTGACTGTAGACAGTTATTTATACAGTGGTGGTATGAGACCAGACTAGAAAGGTAGACTGTGTTGAAACATTCTGATGAACTTCCCCTACTTGGTAATCTAGAGGGAACAGCACTAGCTGTACAAATGGTTATAAATTAGGAGTCTTACATCTATTCCTGTTCGCCTGCTGTGGTTGTAATGAGCTCTGTCATTCCATCCAAAGAGGAATGGAAATGAAGAAGGCTATTGTGCCTCACTGAGGTTATCCTTCCTGAGTTTCAGCTATGGAAAGGAAAGGCTGTCCTTCCATCCTGTCAGAAAACAAGGTGAAAGCAAAGGAAGAAATAAAATAGCAAAGAAAACAACAGTTTTTTTTTGTTCTGCGGATCATTTCAGTTTAGAGGATTTCCACATACACAATTGTTAACGTTTCCATGATTGGTCTGAAGAGCAATTCAAATGATGACACATAGACCTTAGCAAATTAGAAAGCTTAAAGATTGTCAGCCGAGAGCGCCCTCCGGTGGTCAATTGTGTAAAGGCATCACCCAATGAAGAACTTAGCCAGAGACCAGAAGGTCACCGGATCTCATCTGGGACAAGAGACATTACAATTGGCCTCAGGGTCTCTGAATTACTGAGGGTAACAGCAGCCAAGGTTTATTCTTCTGTGATTAATATACAAAGACTCGTACTGCAGATTAACTCGTTTGCACATTGAGCAAGGACAGCATTGGGTTGAACTGTCGAATACCCTTCTGATACTGACTGTCAAGCCTCACAGATAAAGAGTGGCCTCTTTGACAAGGTATCAAAGGGAAGTTAGACCATGGAACTTTAGCCAGCAGAAAGGAAGAAATTGGAGAAAACTGGCATTAAACAATGACAAAAAAGATTGTCAGTATGCTGACAGAGTGGACAATGATTTAACGGAGTAATTTCACCACTGTAGAGAACCAGCCAGCCAACCAATCTCACTTGAAACAAATTTGTTAGCTGACACCTACTAAGTCTATTAATACAACTTGCCTTGCTTGTCAGTTTCATTCTCCAGCTCTCCAAACTCTGCCTCGGGCTCAACAAGACCAAACAGGAAATACAAATCTTTATTCTGTTTTATACTAAATTCCACGTTGAAAAATTCATGCAGAATAAGTGATATGTATCAAGGCTGTCAGATTGACTGGCCATCAGTGACTCCACCTATGGCATACTGGAACTCTTTATTACCTCAGGGAATGGAGCATTTCCAATGTCCACCTCTTCATAACATGAAAGTAACACAGCCAATCTACATTAGAATTAGCTGAAAGAGAGAGGATCAGGAACATATGAGAACTATTTTATATGGCACTGACTAATAAAAATTCAAAATAATTCAAGATCTTAGTTTGAAAGGTCATGATAAGTAATTCAGAAATTAATGGATTTTTTGCTTGTGCAGAGTCAACTCCCTCAAGTTTAAGTTACTGGTCTACATATCAGAGTACATCAACAACAATTGCATTTATACAGTGCCTTTCTCGTCAGGACGTCCCAAGGCGCTGGACAGTGAAACCAGAGCTGGGGGTTGGAATCATGAGGGTGGAGGGCAAGGGGGGGTTGGGAGGGTTACCAAAGACACAGTCGAAGAGGAAGGTCTTGAGATGGGCCTTGAAGGAGCCAAGGGAGGGGACGAGGCAGAGGGGTTCCTAGATGGAGTTTCAGAGGGTGAGGGCAGGAAGACTGCAGTCTCTCTGCAGATGGTGGAGCAGGGAGGACGGGGACATGGAGAAGGCCAGCGCCTGCTGAGCAAGACATACATATATATATATATATATATATACTTACACATATCCCACCAATCACAAGATGAGTTTACACAATCTGTCTCTCCTGCAGTTTCAAAGCATCATCTCGGATTCTAAATCACTCAGCAGAGATTATGTCACTATCTATAAATCTAAAAAGAGACAGCTTCGAGTGTAAAGCACGGAAGCCGCTGCACGAAGGAATTGTGGAGATCAGATTGATTCTCTGCCGCAATACAATGCCTCCAGCCCACCATTAACTCCACACTCACTTGATATTCTTTGATAATTATAGGACATATTTAATATTATTCACGTTCGTTCTTTACCTCCACTACTCATCGATAGATGTCCCTAACGATCTGTAAATCTACTGATGACACAAGCCGTATTACATTCTATTTAATCTTTTTTTTCACATCTAATCCCAATTCTAATCATAGCAAAAAGAAGTGACATCACAGTACTGTGGCAGATAGATCGACAGTACACAGAAACACCTGCAGCATATAATAGAAGACATTCAGTTTAAAATCTATTTGGTTATTTAATCCCTGATGAAGCAGCCCGGAGGTGTGCAAGGATCCCTCCCTGTTGATTTCAGTTTGAAATCCACATGTTGCTGACTCCTTGCTGGATCACACTTGCCTTCAGACAGCAGCACTATTTGGACACCTCAACCCTTCTTATAAATTGATGCAGCACATCACACCAACAGCTTTGAAAGGTACAGATTTTACAAAGAGAATATTCCTTTTTAACCATAGGTTAGACTAACTTGATGAGAAAATGAAATGAAAATTGTGATGTTTATGAAGATGGTAACACTAGCAATAATGACTTCGGGACTAAGTTTTGTGTCAAGGGTAGAGGTGTTTGTTTATTAAACAACTGGATATTGCAGAGTTTCTTAACAGATTCAATAAGATATACATGGGTATTATTATATTATTATCCTTGCATTTGATATACCGCTTTTCACATCTTCTAGACGTCTCAAAGTGCTGCACAGAATATAGTGTAAAGTTAATTGCCTGTATATTTGTGGGCGAAACATGGCAGCCAATTGCGCACAGCAGTGTCCCACAAACAGTCATGGATTGAAGTGACCAATTTATTATTTTTTTTTGTTCTTGAGGGATTATTATCAGGTGTGTGGAGTAAGGAAACTTGCCCAAGGTTTCGTCTTGACCATAATCAAACCCAGGTCTCTTGCTTGCAAGGCGAGTGCTCTAACCACTGAGCTACAGGACTCCTATGTACTAATAGGGATCTCGCCGGTCTCCCCAGCTCCACTATTCAAAAAATCCAGCTCATTCAGAACTCTGCTGCCCGCATACTTACCCGGACCAAACTCCGTACCCTGATCTCACCAGTTCTGGCCAGGCTCCACTGGCTCCCCATCACCAAATGTTATCGACTTCAAGATCCTCACACTCGTGTTCAAATCCCTTCATTCCCTGGCACCTCCCTATCTCTCCGACCTTCTCACACCCCCAACTCAGCTGTTCCATTCACATCCATCTTACAAACTGAGCTAACAAGGATTTTTGAGCGAATGTATGGTTTACCTGTCTATAAAATCAGATGAGCCCTCATGGGCTCGTGGAGAGAAACAAGTTCTTCTGGAAGCAGAATCACAAGGATCACAGTGTAAAGTCCAACTGGGCCTACGTTTACTCTATCAATGGAGCATTTCAGAGTGCACAGAATTTGGCAAATTGTTGAGCTCTGCTGTAACTTTTAAGTCAATATTCTGTCTTTTTAGAAATAACTTACAGAATGCTATGTTGAGTAAATCTATATCCAAGTGGAATTTCTACCTAACAATCTATTAAGACACATCGGCACATCACAATCTTCACCTCAGTAGATCATTGGGCACAGCAGGAGAACAATGTCCACAGCTATAATATTTTAAAATATGCC